CGTACCAGTGGGTGGGCACATCTGTAAACGACAAGAAAAGTGCGCTGGTGACAAAACATGTGAAAGTGTACATGGTAATTTAGCAGGTGAGAGCAGATGGCCTGGGGCAAGACCAGAAGGCAGCATGTGGCGAGGGCTTGATAGTGGAGTGGGAGCAACCACGCAGCCTGGCAATGCAGGGAGTAATTAGTTATGGGGGGGGGTCAGATGCAGGTCCAAACTGTCTGGTTGTTTGATAGTAGACCGTTAATAATAGCGACAAGGCTTTCCGAGGGCGATAATCTTTCTATTCGGAGGACAAGGGACTTTTTGATATTGTAGTTTCCTTCCGGCTAGGGTTGTTACTCAGATGTTTGTTTACGTTCGCTTCCTTCTGTTTGTAATCGCACATCTTAAAGTCACTAGACGCTCCGTTAGTCATTGCAGACATCCAAGAGGTATGAATCCGATGGAGATGTTTATGAATAAGGGTTTAATTGGGATAGACACAAAATTGTCATTAAAAGGGGTGAGGGGGTGACCATTCACAGGCTTAAGAAACAACACTCTGGGGAAGGTGGAGGTGAAGACTACCACCGGATCAAACTGTGAGGACCTCACAGGAGGTGCAACTACTACTCAGGACCGTCTACCGGGGAAAGTAGGGGACAAACAACCCTGCACCTTTACTTGCACGATCTTCATCAAAACTGAAAGTAACTGCCCTTACGTATTCAAACAGGGAAATCACTCTGTCCTGATGCGCTGCTACAGAGCAACTAGGCGAGGTGCGACCAGTCCAATGACAAGGTTCACACGATTTTCCGCGCTACTTCCCTTTTATTACCACCGTCTGCGCCCGTCAATAAATTCGGCGATGCGCGTTTACCCACGCTAAGTAAAGTGATTGCTTCCACTGATTCAAGTAATGACATAACCGCTATGGAGAGGTAAACTCTTAAGGGGATGGTACTGATAAGACCACGGAAGTTATTATGCCGTCATCCACGAGCGATCGCTTTAAAAAGATGAATTGTGGAGGTTTAAAAGGAAACCGTTTTGAACTTGGAATAAAATAAACACGTCATGTATCCGCGGTTGCTGGGTTATCGTTAGTATACAAAAGCAGTTGCAGATCACAGGTATGATTTCTATCAGCCAAAAAGCGTATCTTGGAAATTAGATCTCGATGTTGGAAGAATTTTCAAACTAAAAGCGATGAAAAAAGAAGGGATAAAACGAGGAAGAAGAAGAAGAAGAAGAAGAAGAAGAAGAA